TTGAATTATTACTTTTTATTTAATTCCGAAAATTAATTTCTTTTTTTTGTGCTTTAAAAGATTGTTAGAAATTATTAAGTCATACGTTTTTACAATATTCTACTTTACGAATGGTGAAATTCTAGTAGCAAATATATTAAATTTTATTTTTATCAAAATAATTTGTATAATTTAATTTAACACAATTTTAACGTCATGAAAAAGTATTCTTTGACGAATTAAGCAATCTTTGAATCATTGAAACAATGCATTAAATTGAATTTTAGACAAAAATTAAAAAATATGAGTGTAATGCATACTACTCCTCTTTTGTCGTATTCTTCGCTTTCTACACTTGGATTTACTTGATACTGACGTAGTGCTTCTTCTAATCGCTCAAGTTGTTTTGGTGTAGCAGAATGAAGCGCACGTTTTCGTTCCGATGGAGTTTTCAAGTCTTTGGGTAGTTGCCTTGCTGACTGTACAATCATCGGTTGCGGTGAGACGAAATGGGAATTACGATTAGCTAAATCTGACATCACGGGAATTCTCAGTGCATTATTTGAACTATGCTTATACGGTTCAGCAACGGGTCGCGTTTGAGTCAGACGACTTATGGCATTTCTTCGCTGCCTGCTTATGGGGATTTTTTCAGAGTTTTCCAGTACAACATTCTTTCCTTCAGTTAACGACTGTGAAGATGAAGCGAAAGTTACGAACTTTCGATTTTTCTTTTTGTGCTTATCTGAAGCTGATAAAGTCGTTTCTGCTATTGATTTGCTTTCTTTATCCCTGACTCCAGAAGGATAACCAACATTTTTAATACTATTTTCTTCTTTATTTATCGTATTGCGATTCTCCAATTTTTCTTGCGTGTCATCCTTAATATACATATAAATACATTTTTTTTCATAATATTACTAATGATATAATACAAAAATATGCATAAATTTCATTGATTCAATCAATACTTATCTTAAGTTAAAGTACCAAATTATAGAGTACATAGTTCAATATTTAGATTTAACAAGTATGAAGTTGTTAAATTTACTTTATTTTTTCCGCGCGAGCGCTTCTTTTTTGAAAATCTTAAGCTTGATTGGTATAAATGTCTTCTCCATTTAGCCGAACTCAAAGGAACTTTATTCTGTGTAGAAAAATTCTGGTTGAAAGAACTGTATTTCTTCCTTTTATCAGCTGATGCAGATGATGAGGATGCTGAATGACTCAAGCGACGAAAATTTTCTACAGATTCTAAAAATTCATTGCGAGGATTCATCTCTAAAAATAGAGCCTTTCTCATTTGTGGACTTCTGCTAGCTTTGACCGAATATGCTGATGATTTATTGCAACTTTCTGGATTCTTTGTTTGTTCCATGATTGCACTGGGATTCTGAAGTACCAATCTTCTTTCATCAAAAATTGATTTTGCATCATTTTTAATGCTATGTTATTTAAGGAAGTAATATTTTTATCTGCTAATTCAGTAAAAGATTCAAAATTTTGCCTGAAGAAATTCTTCCACATAAACATATTCATGATAATAATACTTGAAGAAGTACAAATCCCTGCATCAAACTTTATTTTTAATTTTAAGTGAAAGTCAAAGAAATTTTGAATCAAAGCAAATTCATATTAATCAGTTTATTTTTAAATGAAAATGATGTTAGCAGTAAATGAAATGTATGCAAAAAAAGGATTCAAATTTTTATATTCTATTTCTATACCTTTGCTTGTAAGAAATAAAATGCTTTTTTACATTTGTAAAAGTGGTAATTTATGCAACAAATTTTTCCAAAATTAAATTAATAACCTGACTGTCAACTATGACTACACTTTGGTTGTTTTTTTTTGGTATTATTATTTCAGGCATTTTTTGCTGAGCCAAGTTTGTTTTGATTCGACTGATTTCATCTAGATAACTTAACATGGCAGCTTCAAATCCTAAATTCTTTACTTCAACATTTTCAAAATTAGCAGTAGTTATGAATCAAATATGTATTATGAATCAAAATTATATGTATATATATATATATAATTTATACATATGTATTTATTAATTACCGAAAAAAGTAAAGTATTTATTTTTATTTTTTTTCATATGTACTTTTTTTGTATTTATTTAATATATGTATTTAATTAATTGGTTTAATAATTAGTTTATTTAAGCGCATATTTTAAGGTGTCAAAAATTAACAATAACTCATAAGACAAACTCTCTTGTTTTCTTTGAAAAATGCAAAAAGTTGAGTAAAGTAAAATACAATACGCTGCAATCCCCGCAATGCAAATGAAATAAACAATATTGTGCGTTTTTTGGAGTGGAAACGTTCCTGAAAAACGTGTTGAATACTAAAAATTTTAGCAAATTTTCAGTCATTTTTTTGTGATAAAAGCAAAAATGACAAAGATAGCTCACTTATAGCCTCATAAATATGCATTTTAGGAGGTTGTGAATGAACAGATCGTTTAAGTCTGAACTGATTATTCATACAATTTTGACCAAAAATGGTTATTTGACCAGTGCTGATCGCAACTGCTCGTTGTATAATACAATTCCATCCAACCTTTAAATTCAGCTAATAGACTACTTCACGCTATTAATTTTCTTGTGAATATTATTTGCTAATTTTTTTGAATGAATAAACAAATGGAATGGCTACACAAAATTTATGTTGTAGAGTCAAGTAATAAAGCTTATGCATGTTCTGAAGGAAAGTAATAAAGTTAAAAATGTTTGATTTTGTAATGAATAAATGGATATTGGATGCTTAAAGTCAACGCATACGTAACGATCATTGACGGTAATATTTTTTAGGACGAGAAGAAATTGTGTTAGTATTATATTCATTTGAATATTTGAAAAGCATGCATGTATTCGTCTCAAACATTTCAGCTCATCAATCTATAAATAATTTTAAAATACTTATTTTTGATTCAGATTTTTATTTGATATATTTGGAAAGTCTATAATTGTTTGGAAAACTTATCCCACGATTTGAACTATAAAACTGCAAAAGTCATAATCTATCCAAAGTATTTACTTAATCACTGCTTTAAGACTTAAGCCTGAACGGATTAACTTTGTATGAAAAATTAATAAGTTCAAAAAAATTAATAACAATTGAATGTATTTGAAGTAGTAATGATTGATAAAAGAATACATTAGACAGATAAAAGTTCATTTCAGTTGAGGAAGTGATTTCCATCGTGTGAATACTTTCAGTACATCGGCTCATTAATAATTCACATGTGCCATTATACTAAAATAATCTTCAAATCTTTATCACTCATTATTCTAAAAAATTTTCAGAAGTTTAGAGCATATTTTGATATCTTCTGATTCTTACTTTTTAGGTTAAGCAATTTGTAATAAAATTGCTTAAATGGTTATATTAAAAGTGATCGCATTTGTAATCAATCTAACTGTTATCTTCAAATAAAATAATTGAGTGATAAAGATCTTTATTTATTTATTTATTATGCCGATGATGATGATTTTTGGCATTTGAAATCCATGCCAAGTTTTTGCTCTGAATCAATTCAAGCAAAAAATGTTCTATCTATCCTCAAGATAAATTATTGATTGTATGTCTGAGGTTTTTAGTATATTTTTCTCAACAAAATATGTTTGATATGCTCAAAATACTAAGAAAAAATGTTATTAAAGAAAAGAAAATTACTTTTTCATTAACTTTTGACTAAAATATTCAAAATGGCAAAAGCATTTATTATTACCTGTTGTTTAGCTAAACTTATTGGAAGATCAATTTGAATATAAACAGAATTATTATAAGCACTTTGCTTAACCATAGTGATGCATATAAATACGATGATCAACAACCGCATCAGGCATAGAATTTTGATGTATTAAGCAAATAAACGTTAAAGCAATCTTATTCTTACAAAAGTATTAACATATCAATTAATTTGCATATGCATTTCGAAGAAGTGCTTTAGATTTGCAAAATTGGCATTGAGTATATAATTGTTTTTTCTTTATGAAAATGCATAATTACTTTATACATTATGTGAAACTATTTTTAAAAAAATGGATTAAGAAGAATAAATTGTATTGCTCTGAGCTTTTGATTGATTAAGTTGGATTTATTATGCCGATGAGTACTTTATTTATTAGATCATATCACTTGTTGAGTAGTCATTATTATAATTTTTAATAGCTGACAAAAAAAGTGATAAAAATAAGTGAAAAAATCTGAGCTATAAGTGAAATAAGTGAAAAAAATATGAGTTAAAGAAATGCTTCTAATTAAAAATTATTTTACTCATTTGAGCTTTCTAAATAAATTAAACCTCAAGGCACCGCTAATAAGTAAAGTAAAAATAAATACTACTTTCAAAATTATGGGAAAAACAATAAATGAGATATAACTCAGACAAAGCTGATACTATTAATAGGAAAATTATCATAAATAAATATTAATTTTGTTTGATAAGTTTATTCAAATAACAACTTAATTAAGTTTAAATAGATGGACACTCAGTAAAATTGAACAATGACCTGAAGAAGTGTAACTTTTAACTAATGAGTTCATCATATTAATGTATACTTTATTAAAAATTATTTCGCGCTGCTTTTTTCTGTGAAATGTATTCTTTATTAAAAATTATTCCACGCTAATACGAAGTTCTTACATATGCTTCCTTCTTATATCTTATAATTCCAACTTAAAGAAATGGATAATTTAAAGCTGACCAAACTATCTCTACATTATTAACTATTATTAATAATTGTTATGTCACTGAAAGCTTATTAAAATAGAAACTAATTAGTAGAAAACAATGAATAACGCTTGATACGTCATGCATGCATTTCGAATTTAATCGTGCGCAAAATTCAAAAATATTAACGTTCATCATTGCTTTCAGTGTGACAAATAATATCAGTGCTTAAAATTGTATTTTTCTAGCTAAAGTATGAAATATTATAAGCACTTTCTTATCCACAATCCTCTTATTTTAGAGCAGTCAGAACTGACATTGCTTTCAAATATACTGACGAAAAAGACTTTAGCACTGTAAGTTTTTTGATAATTTTCAGCTTATCAATAGTAATCTAATAGTAATAAAAGTTCTTCTACATGGAACGTTTCAAAAATATTTAAGATTAAGAATTGAATCAGAACTAATTTCATGAGTGCTTCATATTATTATTATCAGTTCTGTTTTAAAAGACTTTCCATGCAACTTGGATTCGAAAAAATTCAGAAAACACAAATTATAGTCCTTGAAAACTTCTTATCCAAGTTCAAAAATTTTTTCCACTTCCGAAGGCTTTCTGCATCTTTTGTTAATCTCTCTTTCATTATAAAAGAATGTTTCTTTAAAAGTGTGCTAAGAGGCTTTACATTTTTGAATTCATAATTTGAAGTTGTGCTACAATTTATAAATTTTTAGTCTGCAAATCTTGCGTTGGTTGCACGAATGTCAACTTTTTTAGAATGACTAAAGTTAAGTTGGGTTGCTAGTCAAAGTATTTGCAAAAAAGTTAATCAAACCGTTAAGTAAAGCAATAAATAAATAAATAAATAAATAAATATAAGCGAATGGAAAAATTGCTACAATTTACATTTAAAAGATTAAACGAAAAAAAATCATTCTTTTGAGTGAATTAACTTAAAAATATGAACCGAAGTTATTATGATAAAAGCAAAAGCAAAAGCAAAAGCAAAAAAAAGTAGTCAAAAAATCAAACATCAGCTAACTTTTGCAGTATAAATTGTGCACTAACTCAGTAATATCAGAATTTTAGTTCTTTCTGAAACTTTTCCAAACTATTTTAGTAATTTTGCCATTTTCCAATAATATAATTTTGACTTAATTTGTAGTTTACAAGCATTTAAACTCGAAAGTTAAATGATTGATTATGAATTAGAGCCAAATTTGAATCACTTTGCGAGTCATTTGACCTGCTCAAAATGATAACAAACTTGAAAATACATATAATATTAATTATTTTTCATAAAGCAAAATTGTTTCTATGATACAATTTGCACCACTTTTAATTTCAGAAAGCAATAGAAGTTGTTTTCAGCTAAATGCAAAAATTAAAAAATGATCGAAAGATATAAACTTATTAAAGAATTAGATGGACTGTTATTGTCACACAGTCCATTTTGCACGTTATGTTTGGAAAAAGCAAGAAAAAAAATAGAGAAAGCGTTAGTCTAATTAAGCATTCTTTTTCCATCAAAGTTGTTAATCAATGATGTTGTTATGACTGATAAAGGATTAATCAACTAAATAGGATAAAAAACAAAAAGTAACGAATTTATAGAAGGACAGATTGATCGATGGATAGATAGATAGATAGATAGATAGATAGACTGGCGGATAGATAGATATATAGATATATAGATAGACGATGGAATCGCCATTATATCTACTCTGTTCTCAGTCTGAGCATTTCGTCCTTTAGATTATTGAATGTTTACTTCTATCTTCTGGAATTTGCATTATTTTTTTAAATATTAAATTAACGTTTTTTTGACTCTTTTACATAATTGTGGCTTACAAAAGTTAATATTTTTAACTTTATATTTTAGAATTGTCATATATACTGATTACTTATCGCAACTTTATCGTAAATGCAACTTTGTCGCAATTTTTTTAAACTTATTGCAACTTTAATGCATTTTTATGCAACCTTATCGTGATTTCAGCAAAAAATGATACTATAATAGGCTTTAGAAAACATACGATGACCTAGCTTGAACTTTGCAAGTATACAAAAAAGAAACTGAAGTTTACTGAGTAATTAAAGCAAGCATAAGAGTTGTTTTGAGAAAAGAATCCTTTTTTGCTGCAACATTTTTGATTTCAGCTTTGTAGTACTACTGTTGCTGCCATTAAATTGAAATCAAATTATGCAGTTTACTTGACTTCAAAAATATTATTAAATAATTTTTTATTGAATAGAAGCTTTGCTTAAAAGCGTAAAGCACTTTTAGATTAATCTCGAGAAGTTTTATAATCATAAAATAATGATATACTGATTACTGATTACTGATTACTGATTGCAGTGATTAACATTGTTCTGCTGTTAGTGATGACCATATATATATAAATTGAGAAAAAATTAGCTTGTAACTTTTAACTCTTAGCTAGTTTACTTTTCACATAGTAGAGTTATCAGGTAAGAGTGATTTAGAAATGAATTCATGAAATTTATTTCATTACAAAGTTTTTGTGTTCATTTTTCTCCTAATCAGGCTTCAAACATTTCTGTTTTTACTTTACAATCACTATTTTTTGAGCTTACTGAGTTCGCAACACTTCAGAAAGCTTACTAGAGCTGTAATCATTTAGCTCATTTGCTAGTTAAGTTAATGCTAATTGTAATTTTGAAGTTAGAAACGATTTGATCAAGTTATATCAGTTTGTTCTTATTTTCGATATCAGTAATTAAGTGAGCAGAAATGAAGTGCAAAATAAAATAAGTTGTATTATTTGCAGCCTAAAAGCTAAAAAGAGCCAATAAATAAGATACAATCTAGGCTAGTAACGAGACGTTATCAATTATACATGATGAAGTCTAAACCACAAATGAATTTCATGTTTCAACTCATATTACACGTTCTTTTCTTTCCTTTCCTTTCCTCTTTTCGTGTGATTTATTAAAGACTTTATTGCTAAACAAATATATAAGCTTACAACGTTTTAATCACTTATTTATAGATTCTTTTGAATTTAGCAAATAGCATCTAAATGACAAAATACATAATTAGCAGCTAACTCACATACTTCTACTTCACGTAATTTGTAGTTGTGTACTTCACGTAATTTGTAGTTTTCAACCTCTTTTGGCTTTTTTTTCACTCACTTCAAATTTTTTATTACTGAATAATTTGCTATTTTTGCGAGGAAAAAAAATTCTCATTTTCATAATATTTAATTGTTTTATTAATTGTATCAGAGAGATGCAAAAGAAGGCTTATTTTAGCATATTCATGCAAATACTTGCATTATATTGCTGCACTTCTTCTTATGCAGCAAAATAATTCATCGAAATAAACAACTCAATTTTTGCATTCGTTTTTTCAAATAATTAATGGGATCAATTGAAAGTGAATTAACTCAGAAAATCTGTTTTCTTATACTAAAAAAAGAAATCTTTTTTTAATTTGCTTATGTATACAAGCTGCTTTTTTAATTATTAATTCTCTCATAAAGCAAGTTGAAAATATTGCCCACTGCAGAGTTTGCTTTATATCTGACAGAGCGATTATTATTAACTAAGCAATAAACTTGAATAAAATTTTTTATTAGTCAATTTCCTAAATAACTATTGTTATTATGCATAATTACCATAGTCTGCTCATTATGCATAATTATGATTATGCATAGTTATGATGGTCTACTCATTATGCATAATTATGATGGTCCTGAAATACTCATTTTTTCCAAAAAATTGTGCTTTGTTTTAAAAGTTATTTTTTGCATGTATTAATTTCACTAAATAATGAATGAACTCTAAAAAATATGTTTAAAATGATGTGAAAAATAGTTAAAAATCTTTATTCTATTATATTTATTGCATCCCAAGTTTGCATCAGTAATAATAATTCTTTTAGATAAGAAAAAGTTTCATGTCTTATTTTTAAGCCTTATTTGTAAGTCTGATTTTTAATAAAGTAGCAAATTTAAAATTATGTAAAGATATATTCTTCCAAATACTAAAAATCTTAATCCTCAGCAAATCCTTTTTTAATTTATATTTAAAATTCTTGATAAACTTGTTTTCCGAGGAGAAAAAATAAGAAAATGTTTCTTGCAGGATTGTTTCGGATGATATTCATAGACTTATTTTGCAAGGTTTATTTAATTTGAGCAGTTATTATATTTACTTGAATTTTTCAGTATTTTCTATTTACTTTTTTACTTGGCGTTTTGATCTTTCACTTTTTTTCACGCTTTCTTTTACTTTTATTCAAAAAATTGAAACGAAAATTCATTTTCTCTTTTCAATTTTGTTATATTCCTCTATAAATAAAGGAATTTTTATTGCATTTATATGACCAAAAAGCGTTATTTAACTTTTAAGTAATTCCAAATTATTTCTATTTCATGCTGTATTCTCAATCTTTCGCTGCATATTAGCCATGCAATTTTTTCAGTATACGATATCAGTTTTTGTTCAATACTCCGTGAATGAAACAGCCATTAAGTTTTTAATTGGAGCATTTGTAACAATTCAAAACTGAAAAAAATTATTCAGAGCAAAGTATTATTTTTTAAGATTTTTGAATCTTAAAAGCTTTTTAAACAAGAGCATAACAATTTAAAATTTAAGAACTCTTCAAATAAGAGGATAACGGTTTAAAATTTAAAAAGTTTAAGTGTTCAAAACTTTTTTCAGTAATTGTATCAACTTTGATGTAGAAATTGTTCATTTATAAGTTGGACAATTGTAAATTCATGACTATTTTTCATAAATTGTTAGGGTCAAGCAAAATTGTATCAGCTATAAATGGCAAAATCTGTACCACGAATGAAAGTTCAAGTTTCAGCTCTTGAGCTTTGATACTTTGAAGCTTTTAGATAGATTAGAACAAAAATTGAGAATCCTTTCAACTATCACATTTCAAATTTTTACCGATTGTTTCATTTTTCCACACACTGATTTTTCTGTTTCATATTTTCAATTATATTTTGAACATAAAGTTTAGAAGAAACATGAAATTGGCACAAATGATTCGATATTCAAGTGTTCGCGAGGCATCGGTGAGCGATGACTTCAGTTTCTTAAGAAGAAAGCACAGTGAAAGTGGAATCGAACGGATGACACGTAATGGCAGCGTCGTAAAGCTTGATTTCAATTTTGAAACACCGAATGAGTCTGATCAACGCAAGGAAAATTTGCTGAATATACTAAAAAAAGAGGTTCACAAACTTTACTGCACATCTTTGTAAATTTTTACTTATTTTATTAATTTGGTAATTATTGTAGTGTTTATTTTGTCAAATATTTTACTTTCGTAGTTATGAAAAAATTCATTGAAATTTATTGTATTACAAATTTTAAGGTAAAAAATGTCATGGAAGAATCTATCAATCGAAAATTGGTAAATGCTAAAAGCACGTACGTCATATCATTGTGTGGTAAGAATTGTAATCAAAAATTTCGATCAGTTTTGTCATTAGAAATACTTCTTAGCATTCGTATTGTATCAAAATAACTTCAGTAGCCTTTTAAAATTTAGTGCTGTGCTTTCTTCTAATTTCTTTTTCATTATAGCTTTTATTAAATAATTTATTACTTTAAATTATTATTCACTTAGTCTATTTCTACGCATGCAAATTTATGACTGCATATTAGCGATGGATTTAATCATTAGCAATGGTACTTTAAACAAATCTAATTTGATTTTCATTGCAATTTCATATTCAGCAATACATACCATTTTTTAAAATATATTGCTAATTTTTACAGCTGCAATAGAACAGTGTTTACTCGATGGTCTGAAACGTCGTTTACTTGGACTATTTGGTGCTCGTTCTACATACGCTCTTCTTCACAATATTTCAAAGTTTTGTCCTGAAGCAGCAGAAGTATTAGCCTTAACAATCAAAGCTCAAGATGATGAAGTGATGTATGTTCTTAGAATCAAGACTAAAGTTGACGGATTAAAAGTTTTTACTATTCTTATGTAATCTTTAAGCAATAATTTGCATAAATTTTTTTAATCAAAGTTTTTTTGTTACTAGTGAGCATAAATTAGGTCATGCCCTTCGCATTATTTGTGGGTCATATATGCACTAATGGCTAAAAAATTACCGGCAATTATTGGATTCATTCATTCATCTGTACAGTAAGTATTTTATGCTGTTAAATAAAATTTTTAGGAAATAATTATATGCATAATTTTTAGAGGAGATAGCGAAAATATGGCTATGTTATGATATTATAAAATATCTGCATTTACTGCTATTAATTTTACCATTATTACTAATCAACTTTTTTAACGTTTGGGTTGTATTTAACAATTTATTATTTAATTTTAGAATAATAAAGTCAGAAAAAATACAGAAACTAAAATTTGCTCGATAGTAAATAGATATTTGTAAGGATTTTAAGTATTATAATGCGCAAGAATGTTGTAGTTGCCGGCGATACTACGAAAAAAACGCGTTAATACTAGACGCAGCGAAAGGAGGTCTAGTTGCAGCCTTACTTGGTATCTGATTTTCTATTTTTTTATAGATTAATTTATACATTACTTGCTTAATGGATTATGCGCATATTAAGAGTTAGATATAGTATTGTTGCTGTTGTTGTTCAGTTCCAATTAGTTTGGAAAAAAAGCTTCAAAAATTATTGCATCATTAAAGATTTACCTTTTTTAGAAGAATGTAATGGGATAAAAATTATTGATAAAAAAAAGATAAGATAATACTTTAGTAATAACTTTTTCATATATTTGATTTAATTTAAGATAGGCAAATTATTATGTGTCAAAATGCTCAAAAATGTTTAATCAATTCGTGAACTAAT